CAGGACTCCTGCACCCCCTTCAGACGAGCTATGGGGAATAGGGATTGCAGCTAGACTGGTTATACCGGCAGGAGAAGAGAAGCCCAGCATCCCCCATGCTCTAAGTTTGGCAAATCAGTTGGGAAAGAAAAAAAAGGGAGGAAAGAAGAGGTAGAAACCCCACCAGGCTGGTATGTCCTGCCTCCTCCAGGCAGCTCGCCTCCACGTTGAAGTCAGCCTCAAGAGCATTTATATTTGCTGCTATGCAGTCACCCCTCGGCGTAGTTCTGCATATTAAAATTGCCCCTTTGCTTTCCCACAATGGTAGTGTCCCCTGTCCCCAGGGCTTATGCTGGCTGCAGGGGAGGGAAGGGGCAGGATGGGCAGGGACTGCAGGTTTGAAGGCTCTGGTTTGGCCAGAACCAGCACAGCCTGTCTGAACAGGCATCAAGATCATGCTGCGACCGGTGCCAAGTGCGACACTCAGGACTGCTGGGCTCTGTCCGCCACTTGTTCAGCTCATTAGCTCAGATCCAGGCAGGATTAATGGTGAATTACAAAAATAATTCCTCCCCCCTACGTCAGGAACAATGGAGAGATTTTTTTTTTTTTTAAATTACCTGCCACGCTCACATTTTTATAAAATCATTTATCAATCGCACACACACAAATAAAAGCATTGTTTCTTCTAACTCAATGGCTCAATTAATCTTCCTGCGCTCTCCACCAGCCCCAGGCTGCAGCCCAGACCCAGGCACCAGTGTCAGCCTAAGGACCACATCCATCAGCTGCTGATCATGTTTATGGATGCGCCATGGAAAATAGCTTACAGAAGGTGACAGCTGAAGAGTGGGAACAAACTGATAGTAGAGACTCAGGGAAAGTGAAGCGTGGTGAGATGCTGTGAACAGCACAAGGCCACCTGGCAGCCTGGCCACAGATACTGGGGCAGACCCAGCCCTCCCCAGTCTTGGTCCAGGGCTCTGCTGCCACATAGCCAGCAGCTCCTACAAGAACCTCTCTCTGCCAATGGCCCACGGGGGAGGCATTCAGGCCAGGATGAGCCAAAGGGTCCAAATTACGCTTCATTCCTACACCCCTGCTGACTAGGAGCTTTGGCAGGGGAGAAGGACTCACGTGGTCCATTACTAGGGGTCAACTGTGCAAACCTCAGCTCAGCCCTGATCCATCTGCTGTCTGTAGGGAGATTCCTCGTTCCTGTCTCCCCCCTCTTTGCAAAGAGGTGTTTGGAGGTTTAGACACGCACTGGAGACAAGTGCTCCTCAAGTAGCTAAAGAATCAGTGAGAAAAAGAGAAATATGGACGAGTTTCATCTCGCACTTGTGCCAGCATGGCCCTGAACAGTGATGGGTGATCTCTCTGTCCCAGGAGGCTGTGAAAGGAGAAACAGGCAATATACCCCCAAGGAGTGAGAAAGCCATTCCTGAGCATTGAAGACTACCTTACTGGAGAATGAACCAGCTTGGGAGAAGAGACTATATGCAACAGCTGGTATTCACCTGGTCACACACCTTTTCGTGGTCTAACGGGGTGTTCAAAGGACTGCTTGTTTCTCCAAATGTCCCTCTTGGCAGCAGAAGCCTTCAAGTGGCCTAAGACCCAGGCTCACAACCCATCAGTTTGCACACATCCATAGGTAGCACTATCAAACAGCACAGCAAACTGAGCTGCCCAAAATCAGGACCAGCTCGAAGCACTCCAGGGCTTTTCAGAGCCCACTGGTACTTACTTTGCTAACTTCTTAAAGCCAATGGCCCTCTTCTTGGTAGGCGTCCCATTGACCCCTTTCCAGACGTGGGTGTTCCAGGGGTCCGGCTAGGAGAGAGAAGAGCAGCAGCAGCTTATGGGCAGTGCTCAGAGCTTTGAGAAATGCTGTATCCACGGCAATTCCTCTAGTCAGGATGGGGAGGGCCACCCGACCTCTTCACAGCTCTTGATCTCATGTATATAGGTCCCTGGTCCTTGGAGCCTCGTGGGTTTCTTGGGGCAGTTGGGCAATGGAGTATGCACAGAAAAATTACAGTATAATAAAACCTTGCTGGCTCTTAACAAGCATCTGGCCAACTGCCTTCTCACCTCTGAGATGGGCTTTAATAGACCATGACCAAAAAGAAGGCAGGCAACACCAGAAGGGGAGAGGTGATTGCAACACATCTTTCCTCCTCCACAGCCCACAGGGTTTTTTTTTCCCTAAGAGGCCCTTTGGGAAGGGGAGGCAGCTGAAGCAAGGAACAAGCACACAGAAGCTAATTCAGTGTCCTCGCAGGCGGCTGTCTGTAATCAGGGCCAGGAACCATCGGGGTTCCTGGTGGATTGGTTATAGAAACGAACAGACTGCTCCTGGTTTGTGATTGTTCCTTAAGGGCTCTTGACTAAAGGTCACATTGTGTGAAAACCACAGGAGCAGGGATGGTTGGCTAATGAGGGTGTGTTTGCTTAGGGCCCTTTTTCTCATGGTCTGAAGTGTTAAATACTCCGGCACCAGCATTTCAGCCTGCTGCTTGGCCTGCTGGGCAGGACCCCCCACCCCCATCAAACTGATGGATCCCCAAGCTGGCAGCAGCCATCCACTCAAACCTGCAGGCTGGAGAGAAGAGGGATACGGTGACTACCAGGTCATTTCCTCACCTACCCAGCAAAGTGCAAAATTAGGCACTTCCAAAGGGAGGAGCTCAGCTTAGTTCTGCTTCCAAGGGTAAAAGTTGGGGCCTCAGGTGTCCCATGTTCCCATGGAGGGGCAAAAAGCCATTGGCCTAGGAAAAGGTGTAACATCCAGGAGGTTATTACACCAGATTAGGGGGAATCATCAATTAGACTTGTTCACGAATGTCACTGCCTCAAGGGGCAGCTTGTTGAAGGTATTAGGTGGTGTCCGTCTCCTTCCTGCATCTCCCAGTTTCTGAGCTCCAGCTCCTATCCTGCTCTTGGCCATGCTTTGGGCATGCAGCACTGGTGGAAGGTGGGGTGTGGACAGTACCTGGTACTCAAAGGAAGGTGTGAGACGGTAGTTGAGCATTTCCTGATGGAAAACTGGGGTAATGCTGCCGGACATTGGCGGGACAATCCACACCCAGTCAGCAGGACAGCCTCCACGGCATCGGTACTCGTTCTCCATATGCTTGATAAAGGATTCAGTGGCTGAGTGGTGATCCACAATGGTCACCTTGTCGCTCTGTTGGAGAGAGGAGAGCAGAGCCAGCAACTGTGGGTTAACACTCCCCAGAAGGCAAAAGCCAAAATTTTACATTTGCAGCTGTGTGACCCAACTATGCCTCACTCCCATGGTCTTACAGGACTGTACCTTTGGAGGTGACATTCATTGGCTGCTGACACTGGTATTGCCAAGGAGCACAGTCAACGAGCAATGCTATTTTTCAGGGACAAGCTGCCCTTGTCCTTCCTGAATAGATGTGATATGAGATGACTGTTCCTCCTGTTATTTGTGGTGGGCCAAGCAAAGACTAAGATGGCATGAACAGGATGGACCATCCTCTGCTCATCCCCTTGGGGAACTCTTTCATGGATTGCACAACTCAAGGACCAATTCTGATCCAGCACTGGGAAAGACTCCCACACTCTCAAGTTGAGTTGCCAAGGACTAGTTTTGCTACTTAACCTTTAAGTGCAAGTGGAGGGAAAACCTGGGCCAATTCCTGCCTCATGGATGGGACAGAAGGGCTGGATATTGCCCCCTCGGGGCACTCCCTCTGGACCAGCAGAGCTCAGATGCTGGTCGTGATGTCTTTGCAACATCCAGGGCACAGAGATTACTAAATTTCACTGAAGAGTCCTGGAACAGCCCAAAACTAGGAAGGCACAGCACAATTTCAGCTGAGTGTATCAGCTGCTGCTGTTGTCCTTGGGCAGATGTCTCCATCCTTGTCCCATCCAATACTTGTGTCCCTCAAGCCTGACCCAGACACAACAGAGTCCTGTTACTCAGGTACCTGGAAGCTGTACAGCACAGCAATGTTGATCTCCACCAGGGCCTGGTCCTTCCACAGCGAGGAGGTTTTCCTCATATCCAGATTCATTTTCTTGGCCACTTGCTGTAACAAAACATGGTAGGTGGTGAACACTTTTAATGGCCGAGAACCAAGGACTGAAGATCTCTGCTTGAGGAGAGGAACCCAGCAGAGGGACCCAGGCTGACACAAGGTCCACACAGGGCAAGGCAGCACACTTGCAATGAAGGGCTGACATTTTGCCTTCCGCTGAGAAGACGTGATCCTGCCTTTTCCTCTCCATGACGGGAGCAAGGCCGCTCGCCTCCCTTCCTCCCCCGGGCACAGGAAGATGATTAAATGCTGCTGAAAAGGGCCATCAAGAGCAGTCGCTCTTTGTGAGAGGAGAGGAGATGGGCGGGTCCACGGGACAGCAGGAGATGGTGGTGATCCATGTGCTGCATGGAACAGACCCAGCACCCCTTCCCCTGCCAGAACCCCTGCTGCTCCCAAACTCTGTTCTTTCTTAGTCCATTTCTTCTACCCGGAGTCCTTCCCCCAGACACTATCACAGACAGGTGTGTGCACAAACATGGGGAGGGATGCAGCCCCTCCAAGTAACACAGCGTGCCCCTTGGAAGAGCGAAGGAGCCACCCTTGATGTGTGCAGATCCCCTGCACCAGCAGCTCCCCGTGGCTTGGCTTTGTCTCTGACTCTGTGTGAGGAGCCCCCGAGCCATGGTAGAAGACTCCAGAGGGGCAGCTGGAGGGTCCCTATAGGCAGGCATGTCCCTGAGGAGTCGCCAAGTGTCTCAGCACCCTCTCCGCCTTAGCTTAGCAGGGTCTTAGCACTTGACCTCAATCAAGCACATGGCCAGGTGCCTGCTGATCCATAAGATGCTTTGAGGAGTCTATGGGGAGCTCAATAGGCATCACACTCGCTCTGCCAGATACCAGCTGGCCCCATAGGACACATAAAACCTTGCCAGCCCATCACACCCTTGGTCATGTGGCTCTGGGAGAACGTAATGGCCCTATCTAAGAGAGACTTGGATGTCCTGTACTCTCCGACTGAAGGCAACACTCTCCCAGTGTCCTTCCTGCTCCCCAGTAATTTCACACACCCACTGCACCCCAGGAGCACCTCACCTCCTCAAGGAGGGGGAATTACCTCCAGTATGTTGTAGCGAGAGTTGTCACAATAGTCGCGGACCCCAATCTCTGTGCCCATGTACCAGCCGCTGAAGGGACAGGCCGAAAACTCCAAGCCACCGATCTCAAGGAGCATGTTGGAAACAGCTGGCAAACCATACCACTTCAGGCCCAGGTCCTTAAACCATTCAAACCTGCCAGGAGACAACAGGGTTAGGCAATCGACTAGACCTCCCCTGCCCAGTGCAGGCAGGGGAACAGCGGAGGTTGCTTTGCTACTGGCCGCCAAGCTGAAGGACATGTGAGCAGAACAGTTCCTGGAGGCAATATCTCCCTTAGGAGCTGTTTAATAGGGACAGAGTGATATATCAGGAGCGTTACAGAGTGCCTAAGTCCTGGGAGACTTCAAGAAAAGGGAAACCAGCCCTGATACAAGGACACAACTTGCTTTCCACCTCCAGGATCTGCCGGCTTTACATCAGAGTGGAGGGAAGACCTAGAAGAGGGTCTTGGGTAAAGCACCCAAGCCACGGCAAGGAAAGGCCAAGCACACGAGGTGGCTTAGGGTGAAACCAGAGGAGTTGAGTCCTGCTGATCCCCTCCAGCAGTTTCGGGGCTTACTCTGACTTACTTGGGATGCCGGATGGGCACTTCCAGCACAAGTTCTGGGGGGATTTCAAAGAGCTCCGGATCGTTGCCGTTGGCTTGGAGGAGCAGAGGCAGGATATCGAAGCGCCCGTGCGGTGCCTTCCACCCTTGCTGAATGCAGATCTACAGGCAAGACAAAGGTGGGGTTTAGAAGTCCCAGCAGACCACCTGCTCTTCAAGCATTATGGGCAGGGAGTTGCATGGCACTGAGCAATGTCTCCTAACAGCATCTCTGCTCAGCCCTTATGGTTGAGTAATAACCTCCATCATGGAGCTACGACATGGGGTTGCCTGTCACAATCAACTCATGGCCATGTAAGGGGGATTTGGGATTAAAATGAGCCTAGAACTAGATCCTTGGGTAGGATCACCGTTCTGAAGAAGCTGCTTACCCTATTTGTGCCCACAATGGTGAAGGAGAAATTGGGTGAGAAAAGCAGAGGAGTTTGGGAGAGCTGCGCTCTTACTCGTGCTGTGCGGGCAGCGCCAGAGGCAGCAGCAAAAGGCAAATCTCATTTCTGATTCCCACTGGCCCAGGTCAGCAGTGGGTACACATGTCTGCCTGCAACAGTTCCCTCAGCACCACTCAGTGACCCCTTCTCAGCCAAAGCAAAATGAGGTAAGAGTCAGTGCAGCTATGGCCAACTCCTGCATGCGTGGAAACAGTTTTATCCCTGGGAAAATATCTGAGGGTGAGAGAAAACCAGCTTCACTTCGTGGCACTGCAGTGGGTGCGATAAACCCTGCTTGACCCAGCATGTTCCTCACTCCTGAGATGGTCAGAGCTTCTGCCTGCCCCCACCAGCCCATTGCCCATGGTGCCCAGGAAGGATGGCTTCAGCCGGTACCTCCGTCAGCTCCACGTTTGCGGGATCTCCCAGGATAGTGCCGTCAGGCTGCTTGTACCCAGCATAGCGGATGAGCTGGGCGTTCCAGATGCGAAAGTCATGCTTGCTGTCCGTCCGCTGCGGGAAGATGGTAATAGCAGATCTGGAAGGAAGAGGTGCTGGCTGGTGAATGTTGAGGACATTCCAAGGGCACAGGACAGGGGTCATCAGAGGAACGGCAAAGTGTTGTGGGGGGAAAGGCGCTGCGCATGTCTGCCACCACCCTGTGCACCACCTCTGCTTGTGCCTTGGACAAGCCCCAAATATTTATTATATTTTCTTCACCAGAAGAAGTCATGGCCAGGTCCACATGGCCAGGAATTCAGGGTGTTTCCAACAATTCAGTTCCAGACAGAAGCTGGCTGCCAACATGGGGTTTCAGACAGATCTGAAGAGCAGTCTGTGCTCTGCATTTGATGCGGAATATAGGAAAGGAGAAATAATTGGAAAATCTGCCCTTTGAGGTGCCACAAAGAAGAGATATACTTGGACCAGTAGGACACCTTCCCCCCCATATCAGGTCCTTCTAACGCTCCCCAGGACAGGTGCTGGCTACAACCATCCTGTTGTGCAGTGGCTGCTAAAGGAGACAATATCAGCAGGGCCCAGAGCTAGGTTAACACACATCCAGAGGCTTTCAGATATAAATCCTGGTGACTCCCTGATGGCTCACCTGAGGTTCCCTTTGTTGGTGGCATATTTGATGTGGTTGCAGATATAATTGAACATCCCATGGGCTGTGGTGCAGTCCCGGGCATCAAACACCTGCAACAGTGAAAGCAATTGTGGTGATGCTACAGGATGCTCTAACTCCTAGGGCAGAGCCAAGCAGAAGAAACACAGCACAGGCAAAGCCCTAGAGGCCACTGTGACTTGTTAGGTATCTAAAGCTCCATAATTAAGTGTTCCCTGCCTTTACAACATGTGCATGTCTAATCCAGCTGCCCCTTCTGCTTTGGAGAGGTGAGTCATCTGCTGCTCAGGCAAAAACCTCCTCAATCCAGTGCTCCCAACCTGCTGCTGTTCCTGGCTTACCCACCAACAGTTTTGGGTTCTGCTTGTTGTCTCTTGTAGATCAAGACTCAAAGCTGAAATAGGACAGGTGTCAGTCAGGTCTGAGGGACACTGAGAGGATGGGGAATCATAGACTCAAAGAATGGTTTGGGTTGGAAGGGACCTTTAAAGGTCATCTAGTCCACCTTCCTGCAATGAGCAAGGACATCTTCAACTTGATCAGGTTGCTCAGAGCCCTGGCCCAACCTGACCTTGAATGTTTCCAGGGATGGGGTATCTACAAAAGGATGAAGAAACCAGGAAAAAGGGTCAACAGGAGGCCTGAAGACAACTTCTTGCAGAAATGGCTCCCCCCAAGGTTCAGATATGCCAAAAGAAACGGTGGAAGAGAAGAGCTAAAGGCTGAGCTGGGAGTGAAGGGGGCCCAGCTTCCTGGCCCCAGGCAGTGCCCATACACTGTGTGAAGCAGCCACAAGAATTGTTCAGCAGCCCTTGAGCTGTGCTCCAGGTTACAGAGAGAGACATCATCTCTGTACCAAGGGATTCCACTAGAGATCACTAATTCAGATCCTACCCTACGCTTCCAGCTAGTCAAAAGGGCACTGAGCCAAATCTTCTCCTGCCAGAGTAGCTCTGTACCAAAGATGAGTGTGTCCTGCTGCCTTTCTCCAGGCAGAGCAATAGTTTTGGAAGCAGCATGTAAGATAGTGGAGTAATATCTGATTTTGGAAAATCTTCTCTAGAGCGCCAGCTTCCAGTTGGCCCCGTTTCAGACAGACACCTCAGCTACACCTACCCCACAGATGCTTTTCCAGCTCCTGCTGACTTCCCAGCCTGTGCATCCCCAAAGCTGTCAAGGAGAGTGTTAGCTGCTGTGTGCTGAACACCCGCAACTGCCTGTGCTGTGCTTCTCCAGGTATCTGAAGAGCAAGTTTTGCCTCTCCAAAACTCCGGTGCATCCTTTCGCATGCAACCTGCCAGCTGTCTGCAGTGGAGATGGTGCTCACCTGCAGCTTGGACCACTGAATCCTGCCCACGCAGCGGGCTGCATTTCTCCAGGCATGCTTGGCTCCGTAGATCAGCTCTGTGTCCCGCAGCTGGTAGGTATCAGTGCCTTCAATCTCCTTGGTCACTTCCTCCAGCCTTTCCATGTGGGCCTTGGAGCCAGATCTGCACGTGTGGGGAACGGTGGAGATGGCAGTCACCAGCCCAGGTGGAGGGCAGGGAATCCTGCTGCTCTTCACCTGGGCAACACTTCTTTCTTTCTGAAGCACATGTGCGCACATACGCACACACGCGTGCTTTGCACCACGTGCAAATGGGAGAGGTCAGTAATTTGCACAGAGGCACACAACACATGCTAGGAATGAAACTCCCTGAAGAAGCAGCTGAATGTGGAGCGCCACAGTCTCACCCTGCTTTGACTCACAAGTGTGAAATATCAGATCATAGGTGACATCCCAGCATAAGCAGAAGCCAGGGTCTGTCACCTTCTCCAGCCAATACTTACCTCTTTATGGAAGAATAGTACTGGTCAATGAAGTCCTTAGCCAAGAGGAGCACCTCCTCTTTTGTCCTGGTATCTTCTGACTTGCGGACGTGCTGGCTAGGGGTCATTATTGAGCCCATGCAGATCTGCTCGGTGCACGCAGTGGCCTGACGAGACACAAGGAGACAAGTGTGTCTTGGGCCACTGCAGCACTTTTGGTTACATGAGCTGGGCTGGAGGAAGTCAACAATTAGCTATGCAGAAGTTGGTGGCATCTTTGACAAGCAGGGACAGCTCCAGCTTCTTTGTTTTCATATCTATCAGTAACACTATGTAAAACAGCTCAAGCATGTGCAGTCATCTCTTGTCCCACCCGGTACGGACATTTGGGGCTCACTAGATTCTTGCCCCAGCTCGGCATAAAGTCATATGCTTTTCCCAATTTATCCCAGATGGGTTTCCCTCTCACTTAGCTTATTGAGGCAGAGGTTTGAAATTCAAACACCACCAGAGATAAGACGACTGGCCTGAATTCATCCAGTTCTGCATTTCCAGGTAAAGGCATCTTGGAAACGTTATGATCCACTCAATTATGCTCAAACAACTCTTGGCCAGTCCTATCAACTCTACTCACCATCGCCGTCTTGAGGTGCAAAGTGTCGTGAAGCACTGAGCCTGTCTCCCAGTTCTTGATTTTGACAAACCGCGGGCATTTGGAAGGACTTCCATTCACTGTGTTCTTAGTTGGGGACTGCCGCCCAGATGGTGGTGGCTGGACAACAGTGAAGACCAGGCACAAGGTTAGTATTCATCAACGAGGTACAGAAAAAAGGTCACAACAAGCAGCAGCATCTTGTATTAGTGGATGCCTGTGCTTAAAGCTTAGTGATAATATAGCGAGACAAGGTATATGATCCAAATATTTGGCAGCATTTGGGATCCTGCAACGGAGCAACCAACTCTTAATGTGATTGAGAAGTCATCCTTGTTTACAGGACAGCCAAACCTGCAGAAGATGAGTTAAAAACAGAGGTAGACGTGACTTAGGAGAATGTAGTATTCAGGTTTCCCAGTGGAAGACTTACCTCTCTAAAATGTATTAGATGTTTCGTTTTAAGGAACATCACCTGCTCAAGTTTTGCACATGCCAAGCTCTGCCTCACTAATACGAGCACTGTGAGACAGAGCTAATAGCCGAGCGTTCCTCTGAGCAAGCCAAAGGCACATCTCCTTTGATATCAATGCTGGAAGATCATAGGAATAAAGACGGACAAATTATGCAAGTGGGAGGGCTGCTGAATTATGTATAGTTGGATTAGTTCAGCCTCAGCGCTGAATCTCCAGCCCTCCCTTGATACTCTGCGTCAGGGGGTGCTCATCTGGAGTTACATGCCAACATAAGGAAGAGCCTCAGCCAGCAGCGAGCTTCTAACGAGAAGAGCTGGCTGCAAGTGCTTATATTTGCACGTGTTTTCACAGATAATGTCTAGCATTTCGACTGTGACCCTTATTTGCCCCAAGCACTGAAAAACATGAAGAGCAATCAACGTCTGCCAGCATATCGTGGGACAGCGAGATCCATGGTGGCCCTGGAAAGCAGAGATGTTTCTTCTAGATATCAGACCTTATAGTAGGGTGTAATTCAGTCACTGCAACCGCAACGGTGTTGCTGCAGGTTTCAAGGGGAGAATCGATCCTACACCAGAGCATCATGGCAAAACCTGCTGATATTTGGCACCGCTTAAAGGCTTGCAACTCTGCAAAGTAGATGTGGGCTCGAATCGAGTTTTGACGTAGCCTTCCTTCACAAATCCCGTAGCTTGTGTCCCTGTCTAATCAATCTGCAAAGTTTTTTAAAGTCGGCACTGCCTTCAGCAGAGCTGTGCAGATTCTCACCCTCCGTTTTGGTGGTTCTGTGTCACAGCTGCAGCTCAGGGACTAGCAGCAATAGTACAAATCCAGCATCACAGCCTGAAGGACCAACTGAAGAAGAGCCAGCACACAGCGGAAGAAGCTCCTGTTTCAGAACAAGCACTTTTGCTGATGAGCAAACCCAGGAGGGAAAGCAACAGAGGCCACAAGGATGACAAAAGCAGATGAGGCTCCAGACCTAACCTGTTCTTACTCTGCCAGACAGAGGATTGCTCCGCTTTTCTGAAGCGGAGAGAGACTGATGCCTGATTGATCACAAGACTGATGCCTGGGCTGAGCAGACACCACTGCATTGCCCTGGTGGCAATGGTGTCGGTATTTTGTGCCCAGTTCTTGTTTTTACCATATGCTCCACACTTTTTTTTTTTCCCTGGAAAACAGGGATTTTGCTGTCAAGCAGCCTGAGGCTCACACTGTAATACCATGCACGGAAAGCGTATGCTGGGAGCAAGAGACAGAAGATGGAGGGGAAGGGACAGTTCTACACCCTGACCCCTCGGTAGGACCCTCTTTGGTCCTCGCAGTTTCCAAAAGCCGCTCTCTGCACACCCTCAGACGATGCTGTCACGGGTCTCTGTGACACTCCTCATGTCACAAATCCTGTGCTCTTCCCAAGGAGTGTTTTCAAGCCCTGGCCCCTGAAGCCAGATGACCACACAGTGGATCTCAGCTTCCCCTTTCCATGCTGCAGAAAACAAATATAAGACTTCATATAGTGCTCAAAACCAGTAGTAAATAAGAAGAACCTTCTAAATGTAGTCCTGGAAAAGCACTAGTTTTAAGTTAATTTTTTTTAATTTTGAGGAATCTGGCCTGAATTATGGCAGTGTCAGTTCCTGGTCATTTTTTTCTGCTTGTTTTACTCTTTCAGGAGAATGAAACCATTTCTGAGCCACTAACAACATCCTGCGCTTTCTGAACCAACCTGGGCCACCCTTGGGACCAAGGGGGATAAATCTTTTTTAGCGTGATTGCTCAGAGCAGCACTATGAGACTGGTAAAACATAGCTGAAAACTGATGCTCAAAACCACAAACAAAACCAATCCTCACCTGTACCTCCACCTGCCAAACAGAAATTAGAAATACCAAGCAGAAAGCGCTCGTTGCATCCAGCACCACTTTTTTATTCTGAATTAGTTTTGATTTGCTGACGGGGCTTCAGTGCAGCTCAGGAGGTGTGCTCTAAACAACATCGTGCTAGGTATGACCTAAGGGTGTTAGGAATCCAGATGTAGCAACGAGAGTGGACATCGGCTGCTTAACATCTGCCTACAGATGTTCTACCTTAAACCTCTCTTTAAGCTGCTCCCTTTCCTTTTTGTCTTTTCCCTGCAGGAACTGGCAAAGTTTGAATGTTTGCTGAGAGAGGGCCACGGTGCGGAGCCATGCCGGATCCCTGGGACGCCAGCCGGAGCAGCCGAGGCGACACCACCGACAAGAAGCAGAGGTGCCAGGTCTGGCAACCGCATGGCAGAGCAGCTGTGGAGAGAGCAACACCCAGAAGAGCCCGGGAAAGAGCTCTGTGTGTGTCTGTGCCTTCCCTGCGCGGCAAAGCCGAAGCCAAATATTACCCCTGGTTCTGTCAGGGAGGTTGTGTGAGATCCTTTCATGTTTTAATTAGGCAGCTGTGATATTAGTGACTCAAGAGTGGGACAAACGGAGAGACTAACGTAGCAGTCGGGGAGCACATGCATTATGCAAACATCTTTTACAAGGGAGCGTGTTGGCACTTATCGTCAGCGTGCAGCTTGCGAGCTGTCTGCAGCTCTTACAGACGCAGGGCAGAAACGCACCCAGCCCCGGGCGCTTCCTGGGGCCAGAACGGCAGGGACCATCTCCCTTTTTGCAGACCCGAGTGGGCTCTGCAGGTCCTCAGCATTCCTCCTGCGTCCCGGCTGGGCTTCGGGCATCCCTGTGACGACGGCATATATTGCTCTGCTGGAATGCATCGACTATGGGAGGACGAGGTCTGCAGCGTTAGCCCAGGTCATAGATATATTGGCATGCTGGCATTTCCTTCCAGACTGCATTAACCCCGCTAGCTGAAAGTGTGTTTTTCGCTTTTATAAAGCTGTAAATCATCCTTACAAGCGTGGAGCTGATATGACTCCCTTCCCCTGGTAGCTACATGGACACACACTCCCCCCGGTTACCCTGGAGCTCCTAACAAATCAATCTGTTTGGACTGAAATACGACTCACGCAGGACCTGGGCTGGTGCAGACACAGCATTTTCCATCAGTCAGGTTTAGGGCCAGGGGAATTGGGCTCCTGGGAAACAAGCAAAACACACTGCGTGATTTGGAAAAAATAAAAAAAAAAGGGGGGGAGGGCTAGGGATTAATGCCCAACAGGTCTTTCAGCACCTTATTACAAAGCTCAGTGAGCATTCCCCACCTGGCCAAGTGAATCTACCAAATCCTGCTTTGAAGAATGACGTGTATCCAAAGCTCGCACTTGGCTTGACTTGCCCCTGTGTTAACAGTATTTATTGCAGCTTGCAAGAAGTTCAGTTGCCTTGACCACATGCAGCCCAGGGGAACGGCTGCAGGGAGCATGGGGGAAAAAACCAAAGTGCCTCCAGAAGAGCTGGCATACTGATTTGGGGATAAGAAGGATAAGAAGAAAGCTGCACATCTAGTGAAAAAAAATATTAAAGAGTTTAATAGCAGCTTAAGACTGGGGGTTTTGGCAGCCCTAACACGGAGAGAAATTATAACCTTCTGTGTTCAGAGCTTAAGGTGCTTATAGTAACAGACACGTACATGCAAGGAGCTTAGCAAAGGAGGCAGAAAGACGGTGTCTTTCCAGAGCTGGGGCAAAGGGACCAGAGCAGTGACCTGTCCTCGGGTGAGATGGGCTCGTGATACCTGCCACAGTGCATTAACCATATGGCAGGACATGGGGCTGCCCAGGGCCGTCTCTCCAGTGGCTGAACAAAGTGTGTTGCAGCTCTTGGATGCACCCATTTGCACGTGCTATGTAGGACGATACCCACCGTAAGGTTGTCTATGCTGCTGGGAGACCTGGCCACAATCCTGAGCTGCAGCCGGGCGATGGGAGGATGGAAGTCACTCCCAAGTGCATCTAAGCACCCAACCAGGTTGGTTAAAAACCTGGTTTTTAACCAGTTGCCAGCGAGTCTGGCATGGTCAGGAGTTTCTCAGCCACCCTGTGTGTGCATCAGGGCCCACACAGTGGGTCTCACACGTGCCATGAGCCTCCAACACTGTGCGTGCTGCAAAAGTGCACGTGAACATCGTTCTGTTCAGGAGCCCCAGGAGAAACAGCAGTGCTCCTGGCATGGGGGGGATGAGGATGTGGGCAGAGTTAAACCCACGTCATCTCCGTGGGCGTGAAGGGACCATGTCACCTCATGTGACCTCACCCCTTGCTTCTGGCTTTGCATCTTGCAAAATGCCTGTGAAATGAGAAAGCCATCCACTGGCAGAGCCATGGCCTGGGAGGTGCTGCCGGACACTGCTGGGCATCAAGGCCAAGCTCAACATCTGGGCATCAACCACACCATGAGTGGCACGTACTCTGTGGTGGTCTGTAAATGGCACGTCGGCGAGGAGCATTGCATTGCAGCTCGTTGGAGCTGGGAAGAGGCATCAGTCAGAGGTATCTGCTGAGGACGTGCCTGAGCTGAGGAAATACTGATTTTCTCGGAAGTTTTCACGTGACCACTAAATCACTTTTCCCCCCTCCCTTGGGAAACAGTCCTTCCTACGTCACCCTGAGAAATACAGCAGGGCAAGGAGAGCAAACGGTCCCCAGACTGGTGCCCTGTGTCCTGCCCTGCTGCTGGTTAATCCCATCAGGGAGACACGTTAGCCCGAACAGGCTTGGCAGTGGTCACGCATGTCATGTTTTCCCCGAGGTGATCTTTCTGTCCTGGCAGGGTCTGCCTTACATCTCTGGCTTTGCTACAAACGTGGAGTTAATCCACTTTTGGCAGGGAAGCCTGAGAATTTATATTCCGTGGAGCGTGAGGAGATGAAAAGGCACCGTACAACATATTATCTGAAGTGCTCTGTTGAATTACCGTCATATGAATCAAAGGGACTTTAACGACGCAACTCAGCGTTTTGCCATGAAAAGGGACAACAGTCCCAAGGGAAGTTTCAGACTCCTGGTCCCTGGCTGTGTTCCCGTCCCACTCTGGCACCTTGGATGAAGAGCATCGTTCTCCAGTGACCTATACGCTGCCTGAACCACAGGGAATCAAATGGGCTCTACACCCCATCAACTCCAGCTCTTGGGATCAAAGGTCTTCAGAGCAGTGCAGCTAGTCCTTGCAGGTTCTCCGTGGTGTGAGAGCCCAGCAGGATGGGTTGTGTACCCCCAAACCCCCTTCCCACCCAAAGCAGCATGAGCCATGGGCTCTTACCTGCTCAGCTTCAGAGTAGGGGTTGTTCAGGACCATGGGCACGTTGCTCTTCCCCCACAGGTCACCGAAGACACGGTCATTCTCCATCTGAGCCGGTAAGGCTTTCTGCAGCTTGTTTTCCCCTTCTCTGAAACTGAAAGGTTAAAAACCATTTGGGTCAGCGGGCTGGAGGGCAGCTGGGTGCTGGGACCACCGGGCCAGGTCCTGGAGCCATTGCTCTTCCTGCAGGAGCAAAAACTCCTGCATCGCCCTGCGGGAGGGGAGGAAATGCTCTGCCTCGGCCAAGACAATGGATCACCGTGGCGAGGGCAACCCAAACACAATAGAAATATCACCATGCAGGTGAGTGCGGTGCCTGAAAAACAACAGGAACCCTCTGTCCTGACACTGCCTCTAGCGAGGTTACACGCCAGACCCTCTGCACCCCAAAAACCAAGCTGGAACCCTGCGAAAGCAAGCACGGACCTGGGGAAAGGAGAGTTGCATACACTTCCAGCTGCAAAACCTCACAGCAAAACCTCACAGCAAAACCTCACAGCAAAACCTCACAGCAAAACCAGCTGGGTTTGCAGAGCAGCTTGGTGTTTATGAGCAGAGGAGAGGAAAAAAACCCAAGAAAAAATAGGTGGCTCCCAGGAGGGAGAGACAGCTCTCTCTCCTCTCCCTGACCTTTACAGATGCTGCAAATGCCGTCGAGTGCAAGCGATTCTACTCAAGCAAACTGACGGATTGCCTGCACGGAGCTGGGGACACTGGTAAGGCTGGGGGACTGAGGACATCCCCAGCGCTGGCTGCCCTGGCCTGCGCAGTGACTGGCGTGACTCCCGGTGCACATGGATTACCGCACACGTTTCACCTGGGGAACGTACAGCGAGATGTCAGTGAGGCTGTTAAATGCCATCCGGGCAGGTGATGGAAAACCACTGCCATACGAGCCCTCACGAAAGAGAAAAACAAATGGGGTTTAGAGACATGATATTCAGAGAAGGCAGGCTGCGGCATCCGCACCGAAGACGCCGACCGCCTTGGTGAAGCCACGCGTGGGAAGGAGCTCCGTGGGTTGGGCTGCACGGGGCCGTGGACCAGGACAGGCGCAGCCCCGCGGCTCGCAGCCATGCTGCCTTCACCCTTGCTCAACAGACCATCGAGGTAACGCGCTCTGGCAATTGTTTTGCTCCTGCTGTCAGTTCTTAAAATTCTTCCAGATGCCCGCTAAAGTCAATAATGAGCCTTCCCATTAATAACGGCAGGCTTTGGGCACTGACCAAAGTAGGACAGTCGCACTCAGGACATAATGCATACCAACACGGTGCTCCTGACACCCTCTCGGGCAGATATGTACGTACAAACAAATTCAGTTTCACAATCCTCCTTAACCCCAAAGCTTGTATCTTTAGGTACAGCTGAAGGAAGATACTTCATGTAAAGACAATCTCCCCGTGCTCTAAATCTTCTGTAATTTTTCTGCCTTTACAGAGCAATGTTCAGCTGCCAAAATATTACACTAGGTTCCTGGACATCTTCCAAACATTGGCTGCCTTAGGGTGAAAGTGGCGAGCTTGGTACAGGCGAGGAGGTACAGGTGCCATAGGGGCAGTTTTTACTGGGTTTTCCATGCCCCCCCCGGAAAAACAGCTGTTCATTTGTGACTTGTCTCCTACAAATACGTGAAAGGGTTTCAATCAGGTAAACCACAAGAAACCCCACCCGCCACAGCGCACAGCCGCAGCCAAAGACAGCGGGTCCCTGCTCTCTGCTACACGGCGGCGGCGCTGCAGGGAGCACTCGTTGGCCACACAGGTCCCAGAGCTGGGGACAACCATGAACCGTACAGCACCCACTCTGCCTTCTACCAGCCCATCCGAAGGGGAAGCTCAGGGTCTCTTGACTGGTCCAGCCTACCTCCATCTGGAGGATTCCCAGCGGCAAGACAGAGAATTAGCAGAATGAAAATTCAGCAAATCTGGCTCTTCCGCCTAAGCCAAGGCCAGCTATTAAACCTCCCAGAGAATACTCATTTCCACAGCCAGACATCCCTGCCCTCTTGCCCTGAGCCCCATCATATCAGGAAGAGTGGAGGCAGGTCAACACAGAGCCACCGAGCACAGGAGATGATGGGCATAGACAAGCCATCCCTTGTAGCTGATGAGCCCCAACGTGCTGCTCCCCATAACTGGTCCAAAACCAAGACACAAGCACTAAATCCATAAAGCTGTGGAAGAAATCCCTCGGCTTTACTGGTGCCTGGGGTTTATCAGAGGGAACCTGCCTATGGAGGGGCCACGGTGCCTCTCCAGGGCCACAGACTTTGCCTCTATGCAGACAGGAGAAGCTTGGGCAGACAGACCCCAGCGTGCCAGATATCCCACAGGCGCCTCCAAAATGACACTGAGCATACGCCTGCAGGCGCCTGGCACGACCCGCTGTTTCCAGGAAGGTGTTTGCAAGCCCGTCTAAATGGGTGTCTGCTGGCACGAGGGAACCTCAGAGAGGAATCCATCAATCGGCAGCAGCAGCCGGAGGTCTCGGCCAGGAGGCTGTATGCGTAATCTCATTGTCCGCACACCAGCAAAGCCATAAATGTTGGTACCTGTGCCAACGGCATGGAAAAAGAACAGATGCTTGAATTAAGTCATCGCTGTAGTTGGCTACTTTGTGTATTACAAGTATAGCTGGAGCAGGGCCCTGCTCCCATTCACTGGCCCTGAGCATCACCCGACAGCGAAAAGCACCATCCTGAGGAATAGCAATGTCCAGGTGGGCGTTAGGGGTTGGATGCTCAGGAGCAAATGCTCCACATCCCATTGCATGTTTGCAACTGGAGCAGAAATGGGTTGTGTCTTGCTATCCTTACTTGACAGCCGTACGGCTGTGGAAGCAAGGCAGCGAGGTGCTGCCCTCACCCTTGGTCTCAGCTATAAAAGCACAGTCAAGCATAGCTGCGACAAAGGCATTAGTCTAAACTCACGGCTGTATCTCGCCTCCATGCTGGTGTTGTGCTGCGGTTCGCTCGGAGGTCCGTCCCTCACAGGGCTGCGGGTGCGTGCCCCTGCGCTGAGCTAGCACAGACCTCTCCCGGATGAGGCTGCCCAGAAGTATCCGGCTCTGTCTTTTGGAGAAAGACAGGGAGAGAAAAGCCCATTCAGAGCAGCCACAGCCTAACTCCAGATGGGGGGAAAAAAATTAAAAAAAAAAAAAAAATCAATTGCTTCATTTTACAAATATTTCCTGCCCGTTTCTTGTAACTGCCTTGTTTGCGAGCTCAGACAGGAACAGGGTCTTTTGGGTCAGTTATTTTCCTCTCTTGGCCTGGCTTCCCCAGCCACCAGCAGAGTCGCGGGGCGACCTGCCATGTTCATACGAGGATGCCACTCACACGCTCAAGGAGACTGGCAGGATGGCCAAAACACCGTGCGCCCAAGCTCAGCCTCCAGATAACGTTTCCAAAAGCACTTTATCGACAGAAGAGCCCAAAGGGCCGTTCTCACGGGTTCCCACTGGGCGATGGGGAAGGGTGCAGTTCCCCCAAGGGGTGTTTCGAGGCAGCCAGTGTCTCTGAGCGCTGGAAGCAATGCTGAAGATCTGTCCTTGGAGGCACTTGGTTGGCTGAACTCTCCCAAATCCAGAGATCCCTCTCTGACCTGGTCCCGCTGCCGGCTCTATCAGATACTATTAGCAAGATAGCTTGGAGCCAAAGCAGGTTTTTGGGAAGGGACCCCGTCTGAGGTCGTCTTTTGTTCTGAAAGCAAAATTTGTTACTTATAAAAGAAAGAGGAATCCTGCCCTCCCCCACTGGCGCAAAGGCAGAGCCTTGGATGCTGCCTCACCTCGGAAAGAGCATCTGGCTCTTTGGAGAAATGAGAGGCACCACTGCTTTCTTTTGACTAATTTGATGATGTTGCAGTGCTCAGAGTGATGAAGCAGAAGGGAAGTTGCTGAGGCAGCCGTTTGAGAAATTTCTCCAAAGCTTTTCCAAAAAGAAAGAAGGGGGAAAAAAAAGAAGAAAAAAAAAGTTTGTCACTTCAGTCCTTTGAATCTGCTTGGCAGAAGGAGCTCTCTGATTTCCCAGGCAGAGATGAGAGGTACAACTAGCTGCTGCAATGCCCAGCGGCCAGTTTGGATGAACCAATGATGAGGACGCGGATGTCCCCAATCCCGACGACGGCTCTCGTGCTGTGATGCTGATAGCAGTGCCCCGTGCTGCAACCACGGGGCATGGACTCCTTCCAGACCCTTGTCCTGGAAGCTGAAAACCCTACGCTTGAGCTTGGGACTGTGCAGAAAGCTCATACATGCACACACCGCTTGCTCTGAGCTTTGGGAGAGAAATTCCTTATTTTTACTTTTTTCCCCTCTCCTGGTGCGTCCTTGGAGACAGCTGCAAGGCTCCACTGCACGTTGCTCCTCCTTCCACTGCTAGACGCCAGGGCAAATGGCTCTTGCCTCACCTTTCTTTTGCCCCATGGAAAATCATACTGCAGAGGGCATTGCATCCTCAGAAGTTAATATTTCCTTGCTATCACACCCCTGGGGCAGCTCAGAGTCTGAGATGTTGGAAAACGTGCTGGCTGCAGACTCCTTGCCTCAAGGGTTAAAGCAAGGTCTGGCACAACAGCACGCATTTGAGGGAAAGGCAGGAGAAGGCATCGGACAGGATCTGGGATTTGCAGGGTGCTGAGGATGGAGCAGAGCTCAGGAAGGAAGTGGGAATGCTGGAAGTCAAAGGAATAACTCCAAAAGGTGGGATGTGCTCTCTGGAGAGGCAGTGGAGATGCCCAGATTGGGCAATTGCAGAGTGATCAAAGCAGGAAACCACTTCCTAAATGAGAAAGGGGAGCCTGAACAGCACTATGAGGACAAAAGCCTCACTGAGGAGCACGCAGCATGGCTTGAAGAAGGTCTCGTGCCCTCAGAAGGTCAGAGCATTGCTGGGCTGTACCCAGTGCTGGGATTAGGGACTGATGAGCCAAAAAAGCTACACAGGGTGGCCTTGGAGAGAGGCCGATGAAATATGAGGTTGGTAAATGCCGTTGAGCAGGCATTGACAGATAAACACCTGGGACCAGCTCCAAGCAATCCCAAAGTCCCATTGGCAACATTCGTGATTCAGCCAGCACCAGATGCAACCTGCAACCACCGTGCTCGTCCCTTCCCAGCCATGCCCAAAGACCACCCGGACGATTCCACCCTCAGCATCTTATTTGGAGGCCAAATGCAGTTCAGGTCTGCTGGGAGAGCGCAGGCTCGCACATGGGCCATGAACTTGTCTGCTGGGACCACCTACAAGGAGAATGGCTGTCCCGTGGGATGCAAGCAGCAGCACCAGCACAAGGGCTGACTGGATGAAGGGTGCTTTGGAGACTGGTCCAAGAGGGCTCCATGGGAATATATTCAGGTGGAATATGCTGTCTGCAGGCACAAAATGCCTCTCTGGATTAGACTCATGTAGTCAGAGTGATGAGGAAGAAGAATCTGCCAAGGGAGAAGGGGAGGGTTATTCACTGCCAAAGCTCCCTACTTCACCGTTCTGCAGAATGGCAACAACATGATAGTTTCAAGGAACCTTTTCATTTCAGAGGTTTTAAAGTTTTGTGTCCAAGTACAGAATAACGAAGACATCAGAAATGCAAATGAAATGTTTTGAGCAACACAAAGAGATTTTGGCGGCGGTGAAGGAGGTGGGAGGAAGAGAATTTTCTCTTCGAGAACTGCAAAATTACGGGGTTTGTTCCAATGCAGGATGGAGCCTGAAACCTTGAAACCTTTCATAAACAGAATTCCTGCTCTCAGCACACTTTTCCCTCTCAGGGCTGCTGATGCTGCTTTTTGGACTGAAACTGCCATGTTTCCATCATGCTGTTCATGTTATGGAATAGACCTGAGAAGAAAAATAAATACTGGCAACTTGGTGGGGGGGAGAGAGGGAGGGAAGATGGGACATGACAATCTCTCTAGAGCTCAGAGGAAAAACAGACCTAGGTTAGCTGGCAGTGAGTGAATCAAACTCTATTTTTGTTTTCTAGCCCACGGTGAGCCTCATGGCAGAAATGCCAGCTCTCATCATACCTTGCACCCCACTTCCATGCTCTGTTTTATGATCGACTTCATCGCAGATGGCTTGAGCTGAGTAGCAGACATTCAGCCGTGGTCGCAGCCCATCCCACAGGCACGCACCATGGACCCAGGGCACCTTGCAGCTGGAAATCAGCAGGCAGCAAAAGCCAGGTCATTGCAGGGGCAGCTCCCCTGGGGAGTGCAGACCATGGGTGCAAGGGATGGAGATGAACTGATATTTTTTTCCCAATGCATACTTAACAGTTTCCAGTTTTCCTTGCAAGTAACATTAGAGACATGGGCTGGAAGCCTAAAGCATCAGGTGTAATTTGCATCACTTTTTGCAAAGCCCACCTTGAACAAGAAGTGTTTGGCTCCTTGTGAATAACCTCAAACTTGTACCATTCCTTTTTAGCCCTAGGAGAGCTGTCACAGCTCTGCGAGCCAGACCGGCTTTGACAAAGTGCTGCAGGCTGTGAAGGTCAGCACCAAGAGAAGACAGAGGAAGAACAGGACTGGTCCCTAGACGAGCATCTCCAACTGGACGGACAGTCAAGTGGTCCAGGCTGTAGATGTCGAGCTCAACCTTGAGCGAGGTTTTGCACTCTCCTGGGGTCTAGGTAGAGCTCTATTCCTGTTTTGACTAACACCAGCTTTGCTTGCTTCCCCTCAAGCCTGGAGAAGTCACAGCCTCCAGCGTGACAGCTCCATCAATCTGATAAGGCTTACTTATTTTTTGGGGCATTTCTTTGGCATCAGCCAACACAATCTCCATGGTTATCTGCTCCCCATCGCTTCCTGACCTTTCTGCACTTCTCCTATGGACCAAGAAAACTCTCACTGTAGAAGACCTTCACGATGCCCCAGCTCTGTCTGAGACCAAGCAGAGGAGATGAATCATCTCCAGCATGTCGCAGGAGTGGGAGGAAAGGTGGCTGAGAAATGCCCTTTACCCCGCAGAGCGGCTCTCAACAAGTTTTCCCTGCAGTATAGCTCCTTTCCCACTTCTCCGCTTGATCCCAGGTCTTCTCGCTCATACAGAGTCCTACCGCAAGAGCGAGGCTGCAGCTTTTCATCAAGCAGAAGACTGAAGCCTAATTTTGACCGAAAAGTGGATTTTCAGTCCCAAGATACATAGATTACATAGATTTATTTTTTTTTTAAAGGATATTGAAAAATAAAGTGAGTGGAGTTTTGGTGAAGTACCCACTTCACTAATATTCTTGCTGGTTTGAGGTCCTTCAGTTTAAGTGAATTCAAAGTGTTTCAGTTTAATCTCTTTATGAGCAGAAGATACTCCTCAAAGAAAGAAATCACATTTTTCATCCTTTTCCCCAGTCGGAACAGAATTTCCTTGGAGAACCCGCAGCTGGTGGGATGGGACGGGGACATTGAGGTGGACAGTTTGAAGGGTGAGGCTGTACCTTGTGTCAATGCTTGGGATTGTGTCCTCCGGGGGCTTCACCAGATTATGACCCCCAGCTCCACCGCAGCAGTCTCAGCAAAAACAGAGGGACAGAAGGGACTTTTAAGCAGCCGTGCACATTCTGTTGGACCTGTAGTCCAGCAAAACCCCTTCAAGGTCTCAATTCTTTGATTGCTTAAACCAGGTTCCCCCAGGGATGGGTTTATGCTGGATTAAAGGACGTGCAGCCTGGGCAGGTAGCCCTCAGCCTTCCAGGGAGACAGCTGGGCTCGAGGAGTTAAATTGCCTCCTATTGCACAGCAGAGACCAAAAACAAGGGTTGCTGAAAGCAGACAACGTGCCAAGACTTGGGAGCGTGAAGGGTGTCCCTGAATGTACCCTGTCCCACGGCTCTTCCCCAGACGTCTGCCACCCGCTGCCGGCACCGAGCAGATTTTTTTTGTTTTTCTTCTGACTCAGTGTGACCACCCTAACGGGCTTTGAGCAACTGTGTCCTCCACGGAAAAAATGCACAATTTGGAAGAGCAGAAATGATGACACGAAAACAACCGAAAAGAAAAAAAAAAAAAAAGATGGAAAACACATGGTGTGGGTGTTGGTTTGTGATGGGAGTGATCGGGACCTCAGCCGGAGCTCTGCCACTAAGCCGGGCAGGGAACCCACTGCACAGATCCTGCTCCTCCACAGCCAATAGCTCTGCCTTTACCCTCTCATTTCCAATAAAAAAAAAAATACAAACCAACAATTTTTTTTCTCCTCCCTAAGGAAGCAGGTGCAGCAAGGGACCGTGAAGTTAGAAATCCCTCTGTCACTGAACCGAGATTACCAGCTTCAGCAAACCCTCCTGAAAAAAGCCTCCTGGCTTTTACAACCGGCCGGTAACCGAGGGCAGCCACAACCTGCTGCGGCACTTGACTCCGCTAAAATGTGTTTGGGGACTTGGGGAAAGGCAACAGGAAAAGGCAACTTATCATTGTTAATAAATGGCCAGGAGGAGAGGGAGCTGGTACTAAAAAACCCCATAGCTACCAACAATGTTTTTGCAAAACACAAAGGATCACAGGGATCTGCTTCGGCTCCGGAGTGATGGTTTCCCTCTGTAAACACCTCTCGGGGAAATGCCGAGGAAGGTTGGGAGGGCAACACCACACGCGGCCCCTTGCAGAAGCAGATACCAGAAATGAAGCAGTTCCGTCCACATGATGGGACTTCACCCTCCTCAGGAGGCCATGGGGCAAGCACCCATCTGTCCTCACCCTTGTTATACATGCATACGAATATTGAAATAATTAGCTTGATCTAGAAACAGCGGAGGGGACGAACAGGCAGATCCGCTGTTGCATTTCAACAAGGGATGGCCATTTCTGAGGTCTTGATGGGAAACATTTCCCCCCGTTCCCAGAAGACGTGGCGTCCAAGGCGGGTCCCACTGCCATGGTGCAGAGGTGCCCTTGGCTTCAGCTGGACTGGGGCTCCCCTCTCCCCTCCCCAAAGCCAGAGCCTGACTGCCAAAAGCACAGAAGGTTTTGAAAATCATTTCTCCTGGGAAGCATCGTACTCTGTCAGTCTGACCTTCCTTCTCCCTCTCCGGCAGTTAATCAATAGCAGATTTCAAGGGGAGAGCTCCAAAGCAGAATAGCAAGGACAGACGATACCATGAATCTTATTTGGCAGGTGGGGAAACTGAGGTACAGGATTTTGTTTAAAGCTTACAACAAATGAGATTGAGAACACAAAACAGAAACAAATCCCAGCCCAGCCCGTGATCCACCACATCGCATAGCTGAGCTTTCCATGAGACATTACTCCCGCTGTCTCCCCAATTTCCCACACTTACATCTCTCTCCCTTTCTTCCACCATCTACTCCTGATTTTCCATTACTTTTACCTCCCCCTCATCAACCGCTTCCCCCTTTTTTTTTTGCATCCCTTCCTCTCTGTCTCCATCCTGCCATGTCAGCCAGCAGCCATTTCTGGAGACGTGCTCACCAACACCTAAACCAGCCACGTTGGGTAGCCAAAACCAGCACATTTCACCAAATGTAAAAAAATGTATTTAGGGACCTACCAGTCCACCTGGACTTCTATATCTCTTGTCTCTACCTTGGAGGGTGCATCTCCATCGCTGTCCTTACTGCTGCTCTTCAGGAGATCCAGGACAGGCTCGATTTCTTTGAGCAGTTCATTGTCTTCCACACCACCGTTGAGGCAAGGGTGACCACAAGCACCCTCCTTCCCCTTCCCAGCGTCCTGCCCTTTGCTGCCGGTAACAACGCCGTTAACGTGGACCATCGGCTCCACCTCCCGCCCGATCTCTCTTGTCCACAGGGAGCCCATGGTGCGGTCAGCTGCTGGCAGCGGCTGCTCTTTGCCGTGCAGGCTTGGGTTGGACAAGTCAACTGCCTTTGGAGTTGGGCAGAGGGGTCTGGTGACACGGATGGTTTTCGGCGTCCCGTCGCCTGCAAAAGTGGTCTCCAGGTGAGTGGTGAAGCCCTCGGGGCCCCGCAGGATGAGGACCACGTAGGTCTCGGAGGCGATGCTTCTCAGTATCTCCAGCGCAGTCTCATAGCTCATGTCCACCAGGGGCCTGCCATTGACGGCTAAAATGATGTCCCCAGCCTGGATGAGGCCACTCTGCTCCGCAGCCCCTCCCCGGATCAGGTCTGAGATGATGACTGGCGGCTTGCTGACGCGCTCCTTCACCAGAAAGCCGAGGCCGCCCACCTTACGCTTGAAGAGCCTCACCGAGATGACGTTGGGCTGTATCTGCTGCACGCTGAACACATTCTCTTCCATGGCAGCGCCCCTCTTCAAGCCTGCAGACCAGGACCTTGACACTCGCAGAGCGCAGAGAAATTCGCTGCCCAAGATGTTTATCCACGCCGGGGCGGGGAAGGGGCAACGCTTTGGCTTTTAAGCAGCTGGCCTCACTGCAAAACTCCTCTGGGCTTTGGCTGCAGGCTGGCTTTCTGCAGCATACTCGCTGCTGCCTCTCTCCGAAACACAGCCCGGGGAAAGCAGGGTGTATCACCGGTGGAAAGCAAGGCTAGGGACAGGGCAGGCAGGGCTGGGCATGGCGCGGGCGAGCAGGGGCTGG